GCCCCAGGGACCTATGGAATGGCTGGCTCCCACCATTGGGTTCTTAGGAAGGGAAAGGGAGGGTGGGCATGGTGGCCATGCCTATAATCCTAGCATTTTGGAAGGCTGAGGCGGGTGGATCCCTTGAGCTCAGGGATTTTGAGACCAGCCTGAGCAAGATTGAGACCCCATCTCTAAAACTAGCCAGGCATCATGGCAGGCACCTGTAGTCCCAGCTATTTGGGAGGTTGAGGCAAGAGGATCACTTGAGCCCAGGAGTTTGAGGTTGCTATGAGTTATGACACTAGGGCACTCTACTGAGGGTGACAAAAGGGGGGGGGGCAAGTAGAGAGCATGCTGCTTCCTTTTAAGGACCTAGAAGCAGCATGTACTCCTTCTATTCAGTCTGTTGGTCTGGATAGATGGTCCCATCTAGCTGCAAAAGAGGCTGGAAAACATTTTAAATTTGGCAGCTGTGGTAAAACCTGGGATCTTCTATTATTGAAAAAAAGGTGGTAATTAGGACATGGGAGCCTGTCTCTACTAGTGGTAGCAAGTGTCCCTTACTTCTCTGCTCCTCCTGGCTCAGAAACTTTGCAAATAGAAGCAAGATTATAGCTGCTTCTGAACACAGAAAGGTGTAGGTAGAAAACAGGTCTGAGGTCCAAAGACAAGAGCTTGGCCATCCTTTTGTTCTTTGGAAAGTATTAGTTCCCTGCCACAGTTCTCATCCACCATTACAAACAAGCAGAGATAGTAGCTTACACCTGGTCCCTCTACTCCTTACCTATCAAAGGGCACAAGTGAAATGTAGGCATCCTGTTAATCTTGCTTTGGTTGGTATCTAATAGCTCTGCCTTCCTCTGCTTGTTCCCTGATTATTTCTGCCTAAAATGCCATGGTGGGAAAGGTATTATATAACCAGTGCCTTCTCCCCTGAAGAAAGAAAAGGACTTGTTTCCAAGTTGGTCTGCAGCAATATTAACATTCATTCCTAGGTCAGCTTACCTTTTCTCTAATGTGCCACCAGCAGACGTCCTTCAGGGGGTTAATCCATTCCTTTAGTTGCTTAGTCAACTGCACTTTGGGGTGATATTTCTGGTTGTCAACTTTTGTGGACACGGAAGCCAAAATGGCATAGGACTGAGAGGTGGACTATGGGAGGGATAGTTCTCCAAGGGGGTGTCAGGCTCCTGCATGGCTGAGGGCTGATACGGCTAACTGGAAAAGCAAATGTGGCGAGAACTGGTTATGTTCTTCCCTGAAGTTTACAGGAAGAGAGTGCCCTGGTCCTGTAAACATCATAATCCCTGTTCTGGAATGTTTTCTTTGGAATCAACCACATCCTGGGAGATGGGCGACCTTAAGCACACAGTGTACAGACAGGGACTCAAGTTTCCTTTCCCCAGTGATAAAAGCACTAAGACCTGTCAGTCCAGGAGAGAATTCTGAGGGCCAAACCAGAATTAACTTCAAATCCCACAGGCCCCTTCTGTGGGCCTGCCACTTGGAGGCTGCACCCATCAGGTGGGCCTGGGCTTGACATTAGGGGTAAAAAGGATGCATCAGTCCCAGGTATGAGAGTAGAATCCAGGTTTTTAAAATAGTCCATTTAACCACCTAGCCCTTTGTCGTGTCTTTCCCCAGGAGATGGACTAGAGAGAAACCTTTTCTGGGAACAGCCTTACTAAAGGCTTCTGTCAGTCTTACTAAAATGTCTGAACCAGGAGAAGGCGAAGTGAGAAACATGAGCCGATTTATGCTGTCACCAAGGCTTGAGTGCAGTGGCATCATCATAGCTCAATGCAACCTCAAACTCCTGGGCTCACACAATCCTCCTGCCTCGGGCTCCTGAGTAGTGGGACTACAAGTGCCCACCACCATGCCTGCCTAATTTTTAAATTTTTTGTAGAGACAGAGTTTTGCTATTGGCTCAGGCTGGTGTCAAATTCCCAGCCTCAAGCAATTCTGTTGCCTCAGCCTCCTGAAGTGCTAGAATTACATTTTTTTTGGGGGGGGGGGACAAAGTCTCATTCTGTCACCCTGGGTGGAGTGCTATTGTGTCATAGCTCACGGCAACCTCAAACTCTTAGACTCAGGTTATCATTCTTCTTCAGCCTCCCAAGGAGCAGGGACGACAGGTGCCTGCCATGATGCCCAACTAGTTTTTCTACGTTTTTAGTAGAGAGGGTATTGCTCTTTCTTGCTCAGGTTGGTCATGAACTCCTGAGCTTAGGCAACCCACCCATCTCGGCCTCCCAGAGTGATAAGATTACAGATGTGAGCCACCATGCCCGGCTCATGTTGATTTTTCCAAAGCTGATTCCACTTCTCACTGACACTAGCAGCCTGAAGGGGATGTAGGTGTGAAATGTCCTGTTGAAGACCTTGGCTACTGGCCCATTGTGGGCTGTCTTTGCAACAAAAAGAGCATCTCTGTCAGCCTGAAAATGGTCCAGAGTTGAACACATGATGTAGTTTAGCTTTAAAGGCCATGATGGTGGGGCAGGAAATTGGCTGATCAGACTGGAACAGCAGCACTGTGACCTGGAGAAATGTCAGCTGCAAGAGATACTATGGGTGGCCTATGAGAAGCCCAAAGGCCTGATGCAGCCAATCAGCAAGGAGCAGGTGGGGCCTCCCTCACTGTGACACAGGAAAAATTCTGGCAGAAGCAGTGAGTTAAAAGAGTGGTAGCTTGTGCATCAGAACCACATAAAGGGCCAGGAGCAGTGGCTCACACCTGTGATCTCCACACTCTGGAAGGCTGAGGCGGATGGATTGCCTGAGCTCAGGAATTCAAGACCAGCCTGAGCAGGGGCAAGACCCCATCTGTACTAAAAATGAAAGACTGAAGAAGACCACTTGAGCCCAAGAGTTTGCATGCCATGCAATCTACCAAGGGTGACAAAGTAAGACTCTTGTCTCAAAAAAAAAAGCAACCCATAAAGGCATTTTCTATTAAAAGCCTACAAAAGCGGCAGGGCATGGTGTCTGCTGCCTGTAATCTAGCATTCTGGAAGGCTGAGGCAGATGGATTGCCTGAGCTTAGGAGTTCAAGACCAGCCTGCACAAGAATGAGACTATCTCTACAAATAGAATAACTAACCAGGTATTGAGGTGAGTCCTTGAGGTCCCAGCTCCTGGGGAGGCTGAGGCAGAAGGATTGCTTGAGCCCAGGAGTTTGACGTTGCTGTGAGCTATGACACCATGGCACTCTGCCCAGAGCAGAGTCTCTAAAAAAAAAAAAGAAAAAGAAAGGAAGGAAGAAAAAAACCCCTACAAAATCTTTATTGTTCATGAGAGAGTTCACTTGATCTTCTTACTACTTAAGTAAGTAATCTCCAACAGTTTTGTTTGTTCTGTCACCCAGGCTAGAGTGCAGTGGCATCATCATAGATCACCACCTCTCCTAATTTTTCTAATTTTTGTAGAGATGGAAATCTTGATATTTCCTAGGCTGGTCTCAATCTCTGGACTTCAAGCAATCCTCCTGCCTTGGCCTTCCAAAGTGCTAGGCTTATAAGCATGAGCCACTGTACTCAGAGCCACAGGCACCCAGCCTGTTTTTCCTTTCCATGATTAAGACATGAAGGAGAAGCAAGTCTTGCTGGAGTGGGAGGAGATAGCCCTCCTTCCAGGCCAGAGGCAATAGGTAGATCAGAGGCTTGCTCATGGGTATGGGGCAGGTGTGAAAGACAGTGCCAGCTCAGCGCCTGTGGCTCAAGTGGCTAAGGCGCCAGCCATATACACCTAAGGTGGCAGGTTCGAATCCAGCCCAGAACTGCCAAACCAACAATGACAGCTGCAACCAAAAAATAGCCGGGTGTTGTGGCGGGCACCTGTGGTCCCAGCTATTTGGGAGGCTGAGGCAGGAGACTCGCTTGAGCCCAGGAGTTGGAGGGTTGCTGTGAGCTGTAATGCCATGGTATTCTACCCAGGGGTATAGCTTGAGGCTCTGCCTCAAAAAAAAAAAAAAAAAAAAAAAGGGAAAAAGAAAAAAAGGGGGGCTGCCAGAGAAAGAAAAGGAATACCCATGGAGAGCAGGATGGGGTCTGAGTCAGGGGGCAGAATTCAGCTGGGCAGTGCTCCGTCCCCTTTCAACCTAGAGGCATGTGGGAGGGAAACTCTTGTAACAAGAGAGTCCAGCAAAAGTAACAGAATCCTTGAGCAAGAACCACCCTCCCTCCACCCCTCAAGAGGGGAGAGCACAGAACTACAAGAGATGAGGATGACCTATGACGCTTGTTAAAACCATGCCAACCCCAGGGAGGGTCTCTGGTCTTCCCTAGACAGGACGTATCCTTATTCACACCCCTCTGTGTTCTCCAAAGGACTGTTGTAAGGGTAGGTTACAGTCCATAGTAGGTCATCAAAGTCAATTCAGAGGGTGTGGCCAGAATTTTTCAAAAGTGAAAAGAAATTATCAGAGCTCACTATAGGTCGTGAAGTTAAGTAAGTGTTGTTTGTGGTGTAAGTAGTGGTGAAACGGTACAGGCACTCAGTAATGTAAAATGTATCTCATCTTGTAGACGATATTCAAAAAGATCTAAAAGATTCTATTTTCAGGGGTCTCTTCCTAGAATTGGCCATCTCACAGTGTCCTGTGACAATTTTGGCACAGTTTCAGTCAGCAATCCCATAAAAAAAGAAAGCACATGCTGAAATTTATTTCAAAAGGGAAGGCCCTTTTTATTAAACTTGTACATTTTACTTTCTTCCTTTTAGAATCCTAATAAAAAAACTTCAGTTTATGCTTGCTTAAAAAAAAAAAACATAAATCAAACAAGCAAAAGGAACTATTGTAACATCACATTTGTGATGAAAGAGGCAAGGGGTAGCTACACCTGCAGGAAGGAAAAGTGAAGATGAGGAACACGCAGGGGCGGCTGCCAGACCAGTGGAAGTGTGAGAAAGAGCTACCTTCTAGGAGAACTTACAAAGCAAACCCACCTTGGTGAGACCAGAAAGCAGCCTTCTTACCCACCTTGAGTAACAAACAGACCAAAGGCCTAATGATCTCACAAATACAAATCAATCACTCTATTTTAAAAAAGCACACACACGTTCCCCCCTTCCCCAGTTTTCTTGGTGACAGGGCATTCACAGGACGTATGTGTTCTTCACCAGCTGTTCTTTGTCATCCCCAGAGCTCCAGACGGTCCGCAGGGCACGTTCCTGGTTCCTCCGTGCCACCCGGATCAGGCAGACCACAGAGGCTCCCAGGAAGAGGATCAGAACCATCACGAACATCCCAGCCAGGACCACCACTGGGGATGAGAGAGAGGCCTTAGTACTGGCAAGGCAAGGAGGGACACAGCCAGACCAAGGCAGGATGGCAGCTACCCAGGACAAAGGAGAATCTAAGTGGGCTCAGGGCAAGGACCAATGTCCCTTCCCCAACCCCAGGGGCTGGAGAACTGCAGCTGGAGAGAGCTCTGACATAGCCTGCCAGAAGTCACCAAGGTTCCCTGAAAAAAAGAAATGCTGTGCCATGTGCACCAGCAGAGTGGCTATCTGTATTCCTTCTCTGTGAACTAGAAACCCACTTCAAGTCTGTATTCCCCGCCACCTCTTCGGCCAGCCTGTATAGGAGTTTGGGCCCGCAGAAACACAGGGTATAAAACACATCTGTCTTGTTGTGTGTAGTCACTAAACCTCAAAGGTTTTATGTTCACATACTCCCTATGAAGAGCAACAGAGAACGACGTGGCCCTGCAGGTGACCAACATGGCTGAGAGCCACCTTTGGAATGAAGTCAGGGTGGAGGCAAAGGTGGACTGGGTGCAGTGTTGGGAGGGGACCCTTGTGCTCCCAACTGCCAGGCAAATTTAAGTTGCCCCACTGCAGTCCCACTGGTCAGTTAAGATGCTTTTTCTCAGGTGGAGCTCCACTGAGGAATGTGACCTCCTCTGGCAGCTACCTGGCTCCCTCCTGGACTTGGCTACAGAACTTTAGCAGCACCAGCCCTTTTGGGGCAATCCCCTCTCTCCAGCTCCACCCACAAATGTGCCAGACCTGGGCTGCTTTCAGCTCCACTCCTGCCAAACTAGGCCCTAGCTTCTAGAACAGAGCAGACTAGTAGACCAGGTCTTGGCTCTTTAATATGGAAACAGGTTGAGAAAGAGACCAAACCAGTGTGGCAGGTCCTTTGTGCTCACATCACCATCCACAATTCAGGCTCAGACACAAAAGTGAGAGGATGCCTGGCCTCCATCCTGTTGCCCATGATCAATTCTTTATACTCCACAGCAGCAAAGTTCCCTCCAAACCTCAGACCAGTCTCAGGCCTGTGTGCAACTGTCTCTACACACCTAACAGCCCTTGTCCCCCAGTCACCCAGCCACCCAGGTGGAGTGTGCCTCATGAACCAATGACTCTCCAGCGGTCTGTGTACACACTGGGATAGTCACCACATATTCCAAGCTGCCTTGCTGTTCCCATGTGGAAATAACTTTCTACCAAAAAGATGTTTACAGTGAAGGATAATCTGTCCCAGCAAAACTACAGCTGGGTAAAGCTGAGCTTGCTCAAGGAAGAGGGGCAGGGAGATGACAGGAGGAGGGCAAAGGGCTATTTACCTTTTGTGCCAGGGGGTAAGACTGGATATATCTGCTTGCCTGGAAGAGAGCACACAGCCCAGAGAGGTCACAGCTCACAGTTCTGTCCCAACCCTAGGGCTATCACCAACCCAGGATCCCCTTGTCCTCAGGGCTGTCACAGGGGGCTCTCTCTGAAGGACTTCTCTCAACTCTCCTGGGAGCTCTGAGGTCTTACCACCCCAGTGGGATCCAAAGGAAAAGCTTTCCCAAGATTCTCATTTTGGAGATAGGGAAATGGGCTGGAGTTCTCAACGGGAGGATTCATCCCCCACCATTATTTCCTGGACTCCAGGTTGGGCAACTCACCATAGCAGCGGTGCATGCACGCTTCCTTGGAGAGATAGCTGTTTTTATTGCCCCGGCACCCTCCATAGATGAAGTTATCACAGGAATTCTTCTCAGCATCAAAGTACCAGCGTAGGAAGGATGCCCGGCAAGGCCCAGTGACTGCCTTGGCCGTACAGTATTCTGGAGGGAAATAGCCCAAGGAATACAAATGATCAGGATTGTGGAGGTAGAACTGAGCCAGAATGCTCCTGATTGGCACACAGCATCAGCCAAAGAAGGGGAGTCTGGGCTAGGAGGTTAAGACAAGAGGATCACAAGAGCCCAACAGTTTTAGGTTGCAGTGACCTATGCTGATGCCACTGGACACCAGTGGCATCAGCATTAGACTTTGTCTAAAAAGTTTTTTTTTTTTGGCTCGGCTCCTATAGCTCAACCGGCTAAGGTGCCAGCCATGTACACCTAAGGTGGCGGGTTCGAATCCCCAGCCTGGGGACACAAACAACAATGACGGCTGCAACCAAAAAAATAGCCGGGCGTTGTGGCGGGCGCCTGTGGTCCCAGCTACTTGGGAGGCGGAGGCAAGAGACTCGCTTGAGCCCAGGAGTTGGAGGTTGCTGTGAGCTGTAATGCCACTGCACTCTACCCAGGGGGACAGCTTGAGGCTCTGTCTCAAAAAAAAAAAAAAAAGTTTTTTTTTTTAAAAATAAAGTCCAAGTGTGGTGGCTCACACCTCTAACCCCAGCACTCTGAGAGGCTGAGGTTGGCGGATTGTTTGAGGTCAGGAGTTCAAGACCAGCCTGAACAACAGCAAGACCCTTATCTCCAAATCACAGCCCGGCATCATGGCAGGTGCCTGTAGTCCCAGCTACTTGGGAAGCAGAGACAAGAGCCTAAGAATTTGAGGTTACTGTGAGCTATAATGCCACAGCACTCTACAGAGGGCCACAAAGTGAGACTCTATCTCAATAAATAAATAAATAAAATTGCTTTAACAATAAAAGACTGCCTTAATTTGGTAATTCCTCTGTGCCAGATGGTGTTCTAACAATGTACATATGCTAACTTAGTCTCTATGAGATCTACCCTAGAACCCTCATTTTATGCATAGGAGCTCTGATTCAGAGCTAGTCACTTGCTACACAGCTGGTGAGAGGTACAGTGGAGGGTAAATTCCAGAACCACACTCTATCCTACCCCTCTAACACCAAAGTTCTCCACTTGCACACTTTGCCCTGCTGGCTAAAGGCAGCCATGTGAGGCTGCCCCTCACCCCAAAGTGCTTCCACTTGGGAAGTAGGGAGCCCCATTCCTCAATTTCCCCAGTGGAAATGCACAAGTGTGCTTCAATCCTCAACTCAGTAAGAAGACCTGTCTTGCCCCACATTAAATTTTTTTTTAGTTATACCTTCATAGTTGAAAATATCGCTGGAGAGGTCATCAGAATCCTGTCTTCTAGGAACTGAAACACAAACATCAATTTCAGGGAGGCTGGGACAGACACAGGACATGTGGCCTAGCTGGGGCTGACTCAAAAAGGGCCCGCTGAGGGGTACGGGTACACCAGCACCTTTAAGGAAACGTGTGGAGACCCTGTCTGTGGGCAGCTTTGTTCTGTCAACCCGAGTCCTTATGGGTGCTAAGCACACACTAAATGAGCAGTGGACAGTGAGGGCCCCCCCACCCCGCCCTCTCTGGTGTTACTATGGAAACTCATCCCTGCCAGTTTCTGGTGTGATGAGGAAGAAAGTCGTGCTCATACTTTCTAATATAGCAAGGAGGCCCCGCACCTCCTGGGAAATTTTTCTTAAGAGGACAAAAGTTATCACACTGATACTCCAGGACCCAGAGAAGCCAAAGAGGGAATAAACAGTGAACCCAGGCACAGGATTCCTGGCCTAGCAAACTGGAAGGTGACTGTAGCCTACCTCTTTGGTGTTCTATGAACCAGCCTACCCCTGACAGCCACTGAACTAAAAAAAAATCCCGACTTTCACACCAGCAGTGGTGCCAGAGTCAGAGGTCCAGACCCAAGACTGCAACCAAAGCCCTGGTTGCAGGGAGAGTTCTGTCCTTTAATGAGGATGGGGGTGGTGTCCCTCCCTCCAGACAGGGCCCTGCGTGCCTAGCTGAGTCTACTGCCCGGGGACTGGCCGCTGGGAAAGTGGGGCTGGCCCCTGAGGGCACATATGCTACCTGGCAGTGCATCGGACCACTCACCCCAGGCTCCCGATGCAGTCCTTAAAGCATAAAGGAGGAATGGGGCAGCTGCTGTCAGCACTAGAAAGCAAGCTAACACAAAGCTCGGGATCAAGTTCTGCGGCAGAACGAGAGAGAGGTGGGTGGCAAAGGACAGAGGGCTTTTTGCACAGGGAGGGAAACAGCAACAGGAGCAAGGAGCAAAGGTGACACAGCAGGGAGAGGTGGGGTGGGGGAGAGGGACAGTGCAGTGGGCAGAGGCCTGGAGCCTCCTAGGCAGTAGCCACCTTGATTGCCTGTCCTCCAGGAAGGTAGGGCCAACCAAGGAGCACTGCCGAATCCTTTGTGTCAGCTGGACAATGTGGTCTCTCCCATGTAAGGACAGCTGGCAGCCCAGGCCACTGCTGAGTAAACAGACCCAGGAGCAGGGAGCCCTTTACAATTCCCAAATTACATGTGTCTTTTCATAGTTACCCATCTGCGTGGCCCTTACTTCATACTGGGTCTTTTTAAGAACCTACCACTTGGGACAGAGGAATCTGCTCCATTCCTGCTGGTGGCCAAATGATCAATGGAATTCTCTGTAAGGGGACAAATAAACATCACAGTGAGAAAAGTGCCCTCCAAGACTGCCCAGTGGGAAAACTGAGCTGAGTCTGAGCAGCTGTGAGGGTCTGAGTAGGTCCTTCGTGCCTCTCAAGGCAATTCCCATTTCTCTTTTACGTGGGACCTTCAATGTGCATGCTAAACCACAAGGAGCCCACCACAATTTGGAAATGAGGAACCAAGACTACTCTTTGAGGATTAAACTTTAAGATCACAGCGGCGCCTGTGGCTCAGTTGGGTAGGGCGCCGGCCCAATATTCTGAGGGTGGCGGGTTCAAACCCAGCCTTAGCCAAACTGCAACAAAAAAGCAGCGGGTACCTGTAGTCCCAGCTACTCGAGGGGCTGAGGCAAGAGAATCACCCAAGCCCAGGCGTTGGTTGGAGGTTGCTATAAACTGTGTGACACCACAACACTCTAACAAGGGCAATAAAGTGAGATTCAGTCTCTACAAAAAAAAAAAGATCAAATTGTCAGGAATCAGAGCAAAGACATCTAAAGTGATTATAAAAAGACAGAATGGGGCGACACCTGTGGCTCAAAGGAGTAGGCGCCAGCCCCATATGCCAGAGGCAGCGGGGTTCAAACCCAGCCCCTGGCCAAAAAAAAAAAAAAGACAGAATGGCCTCCGGGTCTAAACAATCTGCTTAATTATATCAACTCATCTAAAGATTTAGAAAGTTAAGAGGGAGCTGGGCACAGTGGCTCATGCCTGTAATCCTAGCACTCTGGGAGGCCAAGGTGGGTGGACTGCTTGAGCCCAAGAGTTTGAGGCTGCTGTGAGCTATGATGCCACAGTACTCTACCCATGGGCAACATCTTGAGACTCTGTCTCAAAAAAAAAGAAAGAAAGAAAGTTAAGAGGGTATACAACAGTGTAAAATTGTAGTGAATACCACTGAGCTGGCTTGGGGTCCATAGCACAGTGGTTAGGATGCCAGCCACATACACTGAGGTTGGCAGGTTTGAATCTGGACCAGGCCAGCTAAACAACAATGGCAACAAAAAAAAAACAGCAGGGCATTGTGGTGGGTGCCTGTAATCCTAGCTACTTGGGAGGCTGAGGCAAGAGAATTGCTTAAACCCAAGAGTTTGAGGTTGCTG